TTGCTAAACAGGAAGAGGTGCGAACACTGTTAAAAGATATGGAAGAAGGCGATGTCATCGAGCCTTCAGTAAGTCCATGGGCATCTCCCATCGTCCTAGTCAGAAAGAAAGACGGCTCAACAAGATTTTGCGTCGACTATCGCCGGTTGAATGAGGTTACGAAGAAAGACAGTTACCCTCTTCCTAGAATTGACGACATTCTAGACACTCTTTCTGGAAGCAAGTGGTTCTCAACACTTGATTTAAAGAGTGGGTATTGGCAGGTAGAAATACAGCCTGAAGACCGAGAAAAGACGGCATTTACTACGGGACAAGGGCTTTGGCAATTCAAGGTGATGCCGTTTGGACTGTGTAATGCGCCGGCAACATTCGAACGTCTTATGGAAACTGTTTTGAAAGGCCTTTCCTACGAAGCCTGCCTCATATACCTGGACGACATCATCATCGTCGGAAAGAGTTTTGAAGAACATTTAGAAAATCTTAGGAAGGTGCTTCAGAAACTGAAAGAAGCCAATCTGAAGCTGAGTCCCGCTAAATGCAAATTGTTCCGAAAGGAAGTGACTTACCTGGGACATGTCATCTCTGCAGAAGGTGTGCGCACGGATCCTGAAAAGGTATCAGCCGTTAAATCCTGGAAACGTCCCGAAAATGTCCATCAGCTGAGAAGCTTCCTAGGGCTTTGCACCTACTATAGGAAATTCGTGAAGGACTTTTCTTCCATCGCAAGACCCCCTACACAAGCTGACAGAGAGCAACCAGAAGTTCTTGTGGACAAAAGAATGCGAGGATGCATTTAACAACTTAAAGGAGGCTTTAACATCTGCTCCAATCCTGACGTATCCTCAGCTTGACCGACCATTTATTCTCGACACCGACGCGAGTAATGAAAGTGTTGGTGCTGTTTTGTCCCAAGAAATAGACGGCCAAGAACGTGTAGTGGCATACTGGAGCAAGTGCCTGTCTAAACCGGAGAGGAATTATTGTGTCACCAGGAAAGAGTTGCTCGCCATAGTCAAAGCTGTAGAACAGTTCCATCACTATCTATACGGCAGAAAATTCCTGCTCCGCACCGATCATGCATCATTGACCTGGCTTTTAAATTTCAAGAATCCTGAGGGTCAAATAGCCAGGTGGATACAGAGACTCCAAGAATATGACATCACTATCCGTCATCGTAAGGGATCATCACACGGAAACGCCGACGCCCTGTCTAGAAGACCTTGCCAAGAAAGCTGCCGATATTGTTCCAGGGTGGAAGCGAAATACGAGCTGCTGACTCCGGTCGCAAGACAAATTACAACATCAACATCGGCTGATCGAGAACCGTGGAGTGATGATGAAGTCAGGAAAGACCAGCTGGAAGACCGCGACATTAAACCCATAATTGATTTAATGGAGTCATCAAACAGAAAACCTACCTGGCAGGACATTTCTATCTGTAGTCCTACAACCAAACAATATTGGGCACTCTGGGATTCACTTCACATTCGAAACGGCGTCTTATACCGGAAATTCGAATCGGATGATGGGAAGACGTTCCGATGGCAACTTATACTTCCAAGATCCCGCATTCCTGATGTCCTTAAAGAGTTACATAGCACCCCTACTGGAGGTCACTTTGGAATAATGAAGACCTTGCAGAGAGTTCGTGAGCGCTTTTACTGGAATAATGCAAAGGATGACGTGCAAAAGTGGTGCCGATCTTGCGATGCCTGTGCAGGTCGGAAAGGACCGAGGAGACGCAGCCGAGGCAAGCTGCAACGTTACAACGTAGGGGCGCCTTTTGAACGTATCGCCTTTGACATCCTGGGACCTCTGCCACGAACTGCTGATGGCAACAAATACATACTCGTTGTCATTGATTACTTCACCAAGTGGCCTGAAGCTTATCCTATTCCTGATCAAGAGGCTGTCACAGTAACTGAGGTAATGATACAGCACTGGATTTCCAGGTTCGGAGTGCCTCTTCAGTTACATTCCGATCAGGGAAGGAAGGAATTTTGCCTCGGCAGTAATCAAAGAACTATGCAAACTACTCGGCATTGACAAAAAACTCGAACCAACGACGCCATTGCATCCCCAGTCGGACGGCATGGTAGAGAGGTTCAATCGAACCATCCTTAATAACCTCTCATTAGTGGTTTCCAGAAACCAACAGGACTGGGACAAGAAATTACCACTCTTTTTACTGGCTTACCGCAGTGCTGTCCACGAGACTACCGGCTATTCTCCATCACAGATGCTCTTCGGTCGTGACCTTCGTCTGCCTTGTGATCTATTGTTTGGCCGCCCTCCGGATGCTCCTTCATCGTCTGAGGAATATATTCAAGATCTCCAGGCCCGGTTTGAAGTGATGCACAACTTTGCACGAGAGCGAGTCAACTTGGCGACGGAGAAGATGAAGACCCGCTACGACACAAGAGCTACTGAACATCAGTTCCACGAAGGAGACAAGGTGTGGTTGTGGAATCCGACTCGACGGAAAGGACTTTGTCCGAAATTACAGTCACCTTGGGATGGCCCGTATACAGTCCTAAAAAGACTGAATGACGTCGTGGTTCGGATTCGTAAGTCTTCGAACTCTAAACCTAAAGTCGTTCATTACGACAGGTTAGCTCATTACTATGGCCATAGTACGTAATGTAAATAATTGTAAATAGTATCAGACCATGGTCCTTTTTGTTTATAAATGTGTATTTGATTTGATTGTATTTTGTATTTGATTGCATTTGTATTTGTGTATTTAGTATTTGATTTGTATTTAGTATTTGATTTGTATTTAGTATTTGTTTTGTATTTAGTATTTGATAGCATTTGATTTGTTTAAGTTAGTTATTGCATTTATTGTTTGATATTGTAATGTAATGTTTATGCCTCAGTTGCATTTATGCCACAGTTGTAAGTTTAGCTTCCTGTCCAGGGATTGTACTGCCCGGGACGTGCAGTCCTTGGGAAGGGGGCAGTGTTACGAATTTGGTATTTAAAAAGCTAATGTTAGTTCAATTATAAATTAAATGGTTTTATTTCTCGCGCAGTGCAGCGCGTGACGAATATTAAAAGAAAGCTAAGCCAGAAAAATTAAAAATACAAGAGCGCGTGCGTTAAATAAATAAATATCTCTTTTTGATTTCGAGAAAAGTACTGGAAAATTCTAGCGCGTGATTTTAAAATCTTATAAAAGGAGGAAAACATCTCAGTTTGTAGTTGTTGCTTAGTTTGTTGTTGTTTAGAAAACTATTTGTTGTTTAGAAAACTACTGTTGTTGATTGTAGCGAATTCGCGGATTAGCGTTCTTTAGCTGTTTTGAATTACGTTCTATTGGACATTTGAGTAGTTAAAAGATAACTACTGTGAGATATTGTAATACTGCATGATAATTTGAGAAAATTTAAGCATTTTTGTTGTGATAATAATAAATTTTTGTTCATTTTTCATCGGACTTGTGCATTCATTTCATAACGAACCCGTACGCACGCAACAATATATTTAATGAGTTATTTTCATTTATTAAAGAAAGTCCCGTCAAATTGAAAACGTATTTCACAAATATTTGTTTCGCTATCTGCCGATCCTGGTAATTTTAAGTCACGTTTAATTAAAGCTACGTCGTTATAATTGAGCATCGTCCGGGACTTCGAAAATCTTAAAAAAAAAAAAAAAACAGTGCACATTATTCTCCTGTATAACAGTGCAAAAACCAGTGCACAATATTCTCCTGTATAACAGTGCAAAAACCAGTGCACAATATCCTCCTGTATAATAGTGCAAAAACCAGTGTAAAGTATCCTTCTGTACAACAGTGCAGGGTGTGTTCTAGGGAGACCGAATAGTGGTGTATGCGTTGAATAATTTACTCTTTTAAAAATAGTAGTGTATGCGCTGAATAATTTACTCTTTTAAAAATAGAAATTTGTGCAGTTTTCTTCTAAATTGTATTGAACGTTTGTCTTTTTTCAAATTAATGGTTTAATATATTTCGACAGTAAGAGGCTTCTTAAAATCGCTGAATCATAAAAGAAATTACAGAATGATATAAAGGGGAAATATCAACTTCGAATTAAGTCCAATTTTTTAACAGACTTGACTCCAGCAATTATTTGTTGCACGGGAGTAGAGACACGGTACGTAATTTATGTTTCTGAAGAAAATACAATAATCTATGCTTCTTAATCAGCAAATGTGTTTTAAGTCAAGTGTTGTTAAATACATAAATCTCGTTCCCATTCATTGATCAGAGTAATTATGTGATGTTTAAATTAAACATCGTTTGTTTCAAATCCCTTTGTAATGTTCTAAAAGATTTAAAAAAAGAGCGTACTTCGCATGAATGGTTTGTCGAAGTTACAGAAAGGAAATATCAGCCGTGATTTCCTCCTATACATTTCCTGGATTGTTAAGGATCGAATAATAAAGAAACATCTGGCTGCGTTTTTAACGTATTGTTTTAAAGCAGATTTCCTTCGTATACGGAGAGGAGGTATTGATTAAAAGAGCGCGAACGCGAGAATAATAACATTTCCATTCAACAAAAGTTATTTATAAAACTATTAGAGCAAGAACTTTCAAGAAAGACGAAATGATGTCTGCATTTTGTATTTCAGCGAGAAAATAGTAAAGAATTTTGAAGATATTCTGAAGTAACAAGATATTACTTAAATGTTTTTCTCATTTTAGTGTCCAAGAAATATATTTATTCAGGAAACATTTCGCATAAAATAGAATAAACTGAGGGAATAAAAATGTATAAAAATATTTTGTTTTTGCATTCTTAAATATTCGTCATATATTTAAAATTTTTCTAACTGGTTGACATTTTTATTTTTGATTTTTTTATTGATTCTTACATTTTATGTAAACTTTCTCATTCCAGAAAGCGAAAGCATACGATTCTATTACGTAAATTACTAAATTAAAATGAATACAGAAAAATGAAAGTATAATTGAATTTTCTAAAGAACCTTTCGATTCAATTATAGTAAATCTAAAATAAATTAACTTACCCCGCGTCGGTTTCGCTTAGCCTGGTTTTTTTCTTAGCCACTATTGGTAGCTGAGGGAAGTTCCTTTCATATGTGAATAAAGCTCATGTGCAGGTCTAAAGCAAGAGAGAAGATGATAAATAAACATCAGAGCGAAAATAATTAGTTTACATGTGCCTGTTACTTAACTTAGCATACCTGGCATCTGCCCGAAAGGAAATTCTACATTACAATTTATTTTCAAAACTATTTCATGACAAATTCTGCCTCTGAAGGTAGAAGGTACACATAAAAATAAAATATATAATATTTTATAATAGTTTTTGAATAAAAATATAAACAAAATATATAAATTTTTATATATTTTCAATAAAATATATAAATAAAATGTATAAAATAAAATAAGCACATAATATAAAATATATAAAATTATAAAATTATAATACATACATAAAAATAAAATACATAAAATATATAATTTTATTATACCAATTATATCTAAACTAATTCCTGAATAAATCTAACTAATTATATCTAAACTAATTCCTGAATAAATATATACTTAGAGGTAAATAAAAAATGTGCGCATTCCCTCCCTACAGCTATGAAATTCTCCTTTGGGGGAAAGTTTTCAACAAAGAATAATAATAATAATAATAATAATAATAATAATTAAAAAAAAAAAAAAAAAAAAAAAAAAAAAAAAAAAAAAAAAGATCGCTAAGAAACTCTATTTAGACTATCGATTTGAAATACTAAATAAAGTTCGGGAAACATTTTTCTTTCACTTTTGAATTGCTTTTCAATCCCTTCTTCTTTTACTCATCTCAGCAAGCAAGTATGTCTATGTGTAATATCATTCATTTTTCTTTTATGCTTCTTCAGAAACGGAAATCATTTGTGATAGACATGAACAGAATGAGGTGGCATGATGAAAGTGATTGAGCTCCTGATAATAGCATTATTGAAAATCGTGCTGGAACAGTACTAAACTTTTGAATTAATTTAACTATTATAAATTAATTAAAAATGCAATTTATGCACGAGAACAAATGACTAAAGAGAAGAAATCACGTATGCTGCTGGGCAGGTTTTAATATAAAATATTATGTCTCTTCAAATTTCAAACTTTTTGAAAAAATGAATAAAACGACAAATTAATATATTAGTACTGATTATAAACGTTTTATAATAAATAGTAATTAATTCACATATTGAAATTATTTTGAACGTGTTTTACAAAACAACAACGCGTGAATTAAAATTGTACTTACATTTTAAGATTTTTCTTGCAATATTTCCGATCAGATAAGGTGTTTTAAATAAAAGCTTGTAATTTACGTTAGTACTTACCAATTAAATAATATAAAATATTGAAAATTCAGTAAGGTAAATGTTTAAGAAATTGGAAATTACTTTAATGATTATTTAGAGTATTTATATTCTTTAAACTGAGTTTTCTCAGTTTACATTTTTTTGGTAAATCTTTTTATTTAAAAGTCTAAAACTTAAAATAGATAAAGACTAAGTTATTTAATATTTTTACTGCTTGTTTATTGTTATACTCCTAGTAAAAATAATGATGGATTTTGCAAATTATTAGAAAGAAAAATTATTGGACGTGAAAATTGAAATCACTTTTTTTCAGTTTTTTTCATATAAATATGCTTTTTACTTTTTCTCCCTCAGGAACTTATTCATTAATTGAAAAATCGATCTTGTAAGTTATTAAGATTAAGAGCATTTTAATAAATATAATAAAAAAACTTGAGGTAAAATCATTGAAAACTGAAAGAGAAGAAAGATATTTTAATTTCTAAATTTTTTCTTCAAAAACATTCAATTTAAAAACAAATTGCCAGCAAAAATTTTATTTTCAGCTCATTTTGCCTAACAAAATCATTTAATAATATTCATAAAAAAATAGATGAAGGTTCTTAAATTTAAAAATATACTCAAAAGGAACTGCCTAACTCTCGAATGCACGACTGAGGAATTCCTGCTAAATTTTGTTAGGTTTTGCTGAATTTTATTTTCTTTAGACTTAACGTAAATAAATAAATTCTGCACAAGTTTAATTTTATTTAGACCCTAGGACAAGGCTGAAGAAATACTTTTAGCTTCGGACTAGAAATGTGTGTTTTTTTAGTGTATCATGTATGCATGGCCATCGCAAGGTGCTTTTATGACCATCATTTTCTGCCTTCAGTTTCCCTCATACGTGTATCGTTCCAGCGCCAATTATGATTTATCGTTGCGGAAAAATCGCAGGAAAAATGTGGATATTAATATTTGAAAATTTCGAAACTGTTTCACTATAACCGTAACCGTAACCGTCTAAGCTATATTAGGTTGAAATGCGGTTTAGCCCACTGCTTGGCGTTTGTTTTTCAATGGGCAATAAACGCGTCAACACAGCTTCAACAGAACAAACAACACAGCTTCAAAACATCGGGTGGCTAGCCCGATGTTTTGAAGCTGTGTTGTTATTCTGTTGCCACTAGACGTTATCGCCCTGTGTTATATTTAAAGAAATTAAATATTGAAATATCTGCATGAATGTTTCTCGCATTGTGATAAAACAACGGTACCTAGAGCCATCAAATTTTGAATAACATACGTTACCAAACTAATATGAGCATCTGGAAGAACAAACTTGGAATTTAGAATTTTTTTTATTATCTGATTGATATTTTGTAAAACTTGAACGAATTTTTGATTAACAAAATCAAAGATTTCAAAGCGAACAACAACAACAGTACGTGGGAAAAAAAAAAAAAAATTACGTGCAAAGCGCAAAATTGTGTATCGGAAATTCTAAAGATATGCTCATTTTAAAATTATTTTGCGATATTGCTGTTGAACTGAATTTTATGGTTTAAATGTAAAGAACATTATATTTGATAATGAAAGGTAACACTCAAAACGTTAAAAAAACGCCCCTTTGGGCGTAATGTAAAATCTGAAAGCTTTAATGTTTTTTAAAAATTTTACTTGTTAATTTGAGCAGTTAATTCTGTTGCGGTTTGAATGTTCTTATGTGGTGGTTCTTTTTTTAATCGAGTATTTTTCCCCCTGTGGGTTTTTGCCTTTTTTCTGCATATATTACGGAAACGGAGTATAAAACGTTAGTAAATTTATTTAAAGATGAGCGGCGATCCAAAAGGGTTTCCCCCTGTGATAAATTCAATATACAACCCCTCAAAAAGATTTTACATTTTTCTTGAAAAGGGTAAGTGAAAAAAATTTTCTTGTATAGTTCGTTTTAAAGTTGCTTATTTTTAATGTTTTGTATTCCTTTTTGGCTTAATCCTAGAAGATTGGGAAAAGCTAAGGTTGTACAATTTCTCTAATGTTTTTTTTTAAGTGAAAATAGATTCGATAGTGTACATGGGCAAAGCCAATGCAGTGCGCAAGGCCGAGTTTGTGCGCGATGCCCTGTTTGTGTAATTCTCTGATGTTTTTTAAGTAAAAATAGATCGATGTGTACATGGGCAAAGCCAATGCAGTGCGCAATGCCGAGGTTGTGCGCGATGCCTAGTTTGTGTATATCTATGATTTTTTTTAAGTGAAAATAGATCGATTTGCACACGTGTGCAAAGCCAATGCAGTGCGCAATGCTGTGGTGGTGCGCGATGCCGAGTTTGTGCAATTCTCTGATTTTTGTAAATGAAAATAGATCGATGTGTACATGGGCAAAGCCAATGCAGTGCGCAATGCCGAGGTTGTGCGCGATGCCGAATTTGTGGAATTCTGGCATGTTTTTTGAAGTGAAAATACATCGATGCGCACATGGGCAAAGCCAATGTGGTGCGCAATGCCGAGGTTGTGCGTGATGCCGAGTTTGTGCGCGATGCCGAGTTTGTGGAACTCTGGGATTTTTTTAAGGGAAAATAGATTGATGTGCACATGGGCAAAGCGAATGTGGTGCGCAATGCCGAGGTTGTGCGCGATGCCGAGTTTGCTCAATTCTGGGATGTTTTTTGAAGTGAAAATAGATCGATGTGCACATGGGCAAAGCCAATGTGGTGCGCAATGCCGAGGTTGCGCGCGATGCCGAGTTTGTGCAATTCTCTGATTTTTTAAGTGAAAATAGATCGATGTGTACATGGGCAAAACCAATGTAGCACGCAATGCCAAGTTTGTGCAATACTCTAATGTTTTCTAAGTAAAAATAGATCGACTTGCACATGGACAAAGCCAAGGCAGTGCGCAATGCCAAGTTTGTGTAATTCTCTGATTTTTTTAGTGAAAATAAATGGATGTGTACATGGGAAAAGCCAATGTAGCGCGCAATGCCGAGTTTGTGGAATTCTCTAATGTTTTCTAAGTAAAAATAGATCGACTTGCACATGGACAAAGCCAAGGCAATGCGCAATGCCAAGTTTGTGCAATTCTCTGATTTTTTTTAGTGAAAATAGATGGATGTGTACATCGACACCAAGTTTTTGCAATTCTTTGAAGTTTTTCGAGCGAATACAGATCGTTGTGCACATGAACAAAGCGAGGCTGTATGTTATACCGAGCTGTAATGTAACGTATTTTATATGCAATGTTTAATGTGTCGTTTGTGTATTTTAAATTTGCATTGTTGTTTTAATTGCAAGTTATACTTTAGACATCTTTTTTTATTGTATTTTTAATTGTCTGGTTTTGATATGCTGCTAATGCTTTCCGAAAAATATCGATATCCAATAGCAGCAAAATTTGACCCTATAAATAACTTATACTTTTTTTATTTTAATACGTAGTATTTGCTATCGCAATTGCACTTGATAATATGAGTTCATTGATAATATGTGTGTGTGTGAAGCATTGCTTAGTGTTCCAAATTTGTAGCGTTTATTTTCTTTCATTGTGAGATATTAGACTTTTTTTTATTTGTAGAATGTATAGAATTCTAGTAAGACTATAGAATATGACGTGATTTAAGAATTTAAGAAACAGTGACATGAAAGCTGTGTATGATGTTGATCTGCAATAAAAATATTTATTATTTTTTTATTAATGTAAAGTTTAAAATTTTTAGAAAATAATGAAGATTGTCTACTTACTAGTACCTAAGGGATCGTGTCGTTACGTAGCAACAAGGTAATTTGTAAAAATGATAAATTAAAATGTTCGATAATATGAATTTAAATTTGTTGGCAACTACTCCGGTAAAAGAAAGAAAAATAATAAAAAAAGAGGGAAATAGTTTTTGATTCCAGCGTATTGGCAACAGAGAGAAACCAGACGAAAACCGTAGGTTTAGCACTTTTTTCTTAGAACTTGAACTCGATTTTTGGTAGTTTTTGAATCGGCTGTAATCGGATATTGTTCTTTACATGATTATCCTTTTAAACTAAAAATGTAAATCATATTATGTCAATATAAACCCCCCCCCCAAAAAAAAATCAAAATCATGTGTATGATTTATTTTACGTTGAATCATTCACAAAAGAAGAGTTAGTATTTTTCTAGTAGCTATCGGAATATAATCTAGCATAAAAAAAATATCGTCAAAGGGGTAAGTCTTGAAATTTATTAAGCCCTTATATTAATAGATTTAACGTAAATTGGAGTATATACTATTTTATTTAAAAAGCACGCAATAATTTGCAACATTCTGATATAATTGCCGCAATAAATTAATTAATAAAAATCTTTTTTTATTTGTATAAATTCTAAAATCTTTGAAAATACTGAAGCTATCTGAAATACAATTATGAGAGACTGCGACGTTGTTTACCGTTTTAATAAATGGTACAATTCACTTACTGTATTACTATAACTTAAAATATAAAGAATTTATTATACTTATTTTATATCTATAAAGAATTTATTGTGACTTCACAATTTTAGTCCCACCCATTTATGGACGTTACTTAGCTCCGCCTTAGCAACTTTGTTTACGCAAAGTATTCTGAGATTTTACTGGCGATTTTCAAAAAATCGCCACCACTGAAAATCGCCAAGCAGTGGGCTAAAGCCCATTTTCACCCTATATTATTTTAAAGCATTCCAATCTCGAGCGCATACTTTGAAATAACATTATCTGAAATTTCATCCCAATCGAATGAGCGGATAGGCCTCTAAAGGTTCCTATATCGAGAGAGCTTTTTATGACCACCCTACAAATTGTAACAATAGATGCATATTTGTGCTGCGGTTTCGGCAATTTGCGTGCAATGTCGTATAGGAACGAGATGAAAATGGCGTTCGTTATACAGGACTTCATAACGGGTCATATTAAGCAATTAAAAAGGCCGCATTCTGCCCGCGGGCTGGATTTTGGCCAGCCCTACTTTAGAATAAGGAATAAACAATTCGAATAAAAGGAGATTTTAATGTAAATTTTTCTCTCAATAAAATTATTAAATGTAAAACCAGCAAAAAACCCGATTTGGTATTCCATTTTCTGTTTGCAGATCTGAATGGTTCAGACGATTAACAGCACTATTAAGAACTTTATAAGAGAAGCGAGCATATCAGCACAGTGCAGGTCATCCTATGTTTAAGCATTCATCCCTCTAAGAAGCCACGTCCATGCAGCTTGTTTTATGAAGCGATGGAGAATATGTTTGTGAAACCAGTTATTATCCCGAGGGAAAGAGCTAACCTTTGCCTACAGCCAGTTGGAAAAATACAAGATAAAACCAGGCTGCCACAGAGATAGCCGCATCTTTGAAGAGTATAAATCCTTCCGGCTCAATTTGTCGGCGAAATGACTCTTTATCACCTTGTGAGGCGAAGTGAAACAGCTGAAGCAGAGGACCAAGCAGTATTACTTTTTTTCTCTTTTTTTAATAGAAGCTGCTGCATTTGTCTGACTTTTTAGGCGGCAAAGATGATAAATGAAGTTGTAAATAAGTCTGCCTCACTTAACAGATTTTTTTCTTTTTTTTACTCTTCAAATGCGAGTTTGGGATCTTTGTTTTTGCTTTTAAACTCTCCGTAAACATGCTAAGAAAACGTTTCGAAACTAGCGACGCATTTCTAAGAACACTTATCGCCCTAATGCAGTTCTGAGAAGGAAGACAAATTTAATGTTACCCAAAATTTCTGCGAATTATTAAAAAAGAAAATTATAATCGAGTGTACTTACAATAGTTGAACCTCGATCGACAAGCTTTTTCGACCGCGGGTCAAAATCGACCAAAGTGTGTGTATTAAGAAGACGTTTCGGGTCAGTGGTATTTTAAATTTAAAACAATTTTTTTTTTGCGGGGGAAGGAATAATAAAATGCATTTTATTGAGAAAATAATTACAATAGGATAATTATAATTAGTCATAGATTGCCGAGGCCTAATATGTATTTTTTAAAGGGCATGGAATTAAAAAAAGTATTAAGCCGGGAAGCTGTTCGCATTGTAAGTAAGAATTATATTATTACTAAATACCCTTGATTACTTCATTTAAAAACCGTTTTTAATCAAAAGTCATACATTGTCTTTTAACTGAATTTTTCCTTAAAATGTGAATATCACTTTAGAGCAAGGCACTTTGCAAAATCCATTGCACCCTCCCCGAATACTAGCTGGATCAGGCAGCATTAAAAGAACTTAAAATACGAGCCTACAGTACTACCTTACAATAAGACAGCATGCGCGGAGAAATGTGACTATTCTTTATATTGTCCTCATTCAAAAGGCGACTGGGGAAAGCCACGAGATTCAGTTGACCAAACCGTGGTAGTAAAGAACTATCATCGCAGCATTTTAAATTTAGATTATATATAGGTGCATTAAATGAGCAAAATCAGTTGTGCTCTTGGTAAAGATTCGAAAACTGATCTTCCACTACTAGCTATTCGTTGACATTATGACGGAATGTATGCCTTGAGGTTAACAAAAATTAATTTATTGCAATTACCAAGGAAATAACTCTGGAAAACTACATTAACAACGAGGACGTGGAGCAGAAAGCCATTTGAAAAGCATTATTGCAATACTGTGTTCACAGATTACGCTAGCAAAAAATTCGTACTTCACTTAAAAAAGCTTCACTTTTTTCCCCCATGCGATCTTTCCTGGAAATATAACATCGGAGACATGATTCCTGCTGGAAATCAATACTTGTACGATGGATGAATAAATATTTTTATTTATATAGAACTCTCTATATTATTAGAATATATTTACATAGTATTTTATATATTATGTGGAATATTATTTCTATAGAACTTTAACTATTTATATAGAACTTCATATATTTATATTGAATTTTATAGCTATATAGAATGTTATTTACATAGACTTACTTATATAGAACTTCATTCTAGACCAAAAATGGTCGAAGATACATGCAGGAAAACGATTATTGCGAGAACGATGAATCGAGTTTCTGCTTTATATTATATTTATTTAGAGATGATATGGTGTCTCAAACTTTAACCAATGATCTGGGTTCAAATCTCGGCGAATGGACTGGTTGCATGAGCATTTTTGTGGTTCTCTCCATTGTAGGGTGCATTACAATCCCGTTTCTTTAAACTGTCCCCGACGAAAGCATTCGTTTCCTGAAACATATAGTTAGTTCTCAAGTGTTTTGCTATATTCTTAAAATTACAGTTTTTATCTAATGAAGCTACAATTGTAGAATTTTTTAATTCTTATACATATAAGCTTAGAAAGATATACACTCATAGTATAATCCTTCTTATTTATAATAAGCTTCTTAAAATTTTTCTTGCTCATAGACTGCAATTCTTTTAAGAAAAGCAGGCATTATAAGAATATTTTTTTTTTATTAATTACTGAATTGTCTTCAACGAAATTGGCAAACTTTCTATTTTTATGCTTTGTAAGATTTTAATACCACGTGGGTTTATAATGCAGCAGGCTGTATGTTTCTGGAGCATAACATCTCGGAAATTACTAATCAGTCAGTAAAGGTTGAACAAGGGTTACAGTATCTCAATCTGTATAGTTCTGATAATTTTATTCGGCAACGTGGCTGAAGATCAGAATCTTGTTGGTTTACATTAAAATGGTCTCAAACTGGTGGTCCACGAAGCAATTTTATGCGGCCCGCGATGTATTTCAATTATGTATTTCATGCAAATACAGAGTGACAAAAGTATTAAGATTTTAGTTACTTGAAATCCGAGTTTACATTATTTTCATTACCATTAAAAATGAGCGTGAATAACGCACTAGGAAAATCTATAAATGGAGCTAATTAATCTACAGTGTGACAAAAATCTCATTCGAAACTTTGAAGATACAGAGTTTATTAGCTTTTATGTGTGCTTTTTCAAAACATAAATCCATTCAGTTACGAATTTTTACACTAAGAATAATCGCTTTGTTTGTAAATACATTTATTTGTGAATAGCTTTCTTTTCAAGAGAAAATTTAATAAGAAAAGAACTCGATTGACCGATGAACATCTACAATCCGTGAGAAGATAATTTCTAGAAATTTCTTTCCAAGGGTACAAACCTTAGCAGAATGGAAACACCATTGAGTACCAAGCTTGGGTAAAAAATAAAGAAGTTTATTAATATTTGCATACATAACGTATTTTTATATATGCATCGATGAAAAATTCAAAAATAAGAACAAGAAAATAGGTTGCTATTAAATATTCTCAAGTTTGTTTCACATGAAAATGTCTTCTCTAAAAACTTAAAAACTTTTCATGTTTTTTGTTTTCAGTTTAAATTGAAATAAGTTATTTAATAATTAATTAAATATTTTAGAATTATTTGAAATAAATGTCAGTCTAAGAGTTTAATATTTACCTCTCAATACAGTACTTAAATTACAAAATACAACCAATAACAAGTAATGTAAAAAAAATTAAAGTCAATTTCTACTTAGGCGAAAAAAAATTTTTTTTAATTAAAAAAGAAAAAAATTACAAAAAATGTTTTTATTGAAAATTAAAATTTTTTTTTGTATGGGGGAAAACTGTATTAACATCAAGTGCTATCGACTACAAGTTTAAAAAATGTATTTGAGCTTGAGTGGATGAATAAAAAGTATTTTATTAACGATTGAAATTAATTAATTAATAATTAATAAAATTAAAAAAATTAAAGTCAATTCCTACTAAGGTCAACAAAAGAAAATTTTTAAATACAAAAACAATTTAATTAAAAATATTTTAAAATGTTAAATATGTGAAAAAACTGTATTAACATCAAGTGTCATTCACTACAAGTTTAAGATATAGGGAGAGTGTGAGTTAATAGTAGAAATTTAATAAAAATGATTTTCAAATACCAAAGTTTAAATTTCAAACAGAAAATAAATATAAAGTTAAACCTTTTTCCTCTGAGTTATTATCATTATTGTTTACATATGTTTTGATGATTTCATAAATATTTAATAATCGAAATATAAATTTTATTTGAAATGCATTATTTTTGCAATAAAAAGTTTTCATTTGTTAAAAAAAAAAAAAAAAAAAAAAAAAAAAAAAAAAACCTGGCCCGTCGGCTCACTTGCAATTTGAGTTTGAGACTACTGTTACATTGTATAGCAGTCCATCACTTGGCTTCATGTAAAATTTCAAATCATTTCTCCAGATGATGTCTGCGGGGTTAACTTACAAATGAACTCTTGGATTATTGATATTATTATGTTACACTAGAACCTGCTAAGGCGCTTTTTAGCGTAATTAATATAAGTGCGTCAAAGTCATGACAGTAAAAACATCTGAAATTGAGCCCTATGCCATAAGAAAGCAGGCAACAGAGAGGAGAAAAGAGGTGACAAATTTCATGATGACAGCACGGAGAATTAATCCCTGGGAGTAATACTGGGACAGTAACTTAAATCTATAGTTTACAGGGAATCTTCTAATAAGGTTTGCTGCGTGATGGTACTATAATCATCGAGGATTACCATTTAATCCAAGAAGTTAACTATGTTACAAATTCTAGTTTTTGTGAAAAACATCTCATTAATTTGCTGTGGGTGTTTCTTAAGTGGCTTTATTTTCAAGTCTCGATGAAGAGCTTTTTTTCTAATAAAGTATGGAACTCCCGTAATTAACGTTAGGAGCTTATTCCGCAGTACTGGTTGATAAATGAGCTTATTCTGCAGTAATTATAGCAGGTAAATGAACTCAAAGTCAGCGCTTCACTTACTTGTAATTCATATTTATGCAAACAGTATTCGCAATTTAAGTATTAAATTTTTATAAACAACATCAACAATTTATGTCTCTAAATTCTAAAGAGTGGTTATTTGACATTTAAGGAATGACATCCGACCTTTCTCGAGGAGCAAAATGACACCAACCTCGACGGAGAGACTTTTCACTATAGTAAAAAAAGATAGTTTCTTCTCAATCGAAAAATAGAGATGACCCCTTTTCTTTCGCTCTTCTCGAGAGTGAAAGAAACTCTCGGGTGTTCTCGCCTGATATTCGGATAAAACCACATACCTACCTCTCACTTACCACTTCGATCACTCTAATAAATATATTGTTACGTTTTATTCTTCCTTCTGACATCAGTTGCTGCGTTATTTTCTTCCTTCACATTCGTACGGGGTTTGGGTGGATTTGGAGTGAAAAACGATGACACTTGATGAAGTATCGAAACACACTTTAGTTGCCAGTATTGTCAGGACAGCTCCAAAACACGTTTTACAGTCGTCGATGAACTACTATAAACACGCTGACACGATCAGCGACACAGCCTTCAGGTTATCATGCTATGACGGTGGAAACAGCTTCCTGCAAAGCACCCGACCTCTGCTTTCCGGAGTATAGCTCCCGACTCTGCTCGGTTGTTCTCGGAACTCCACGTACTCTCGAGACTCTTCACGGTACAACTCGCGATGCCGTCGACGACACACGAGCACAGCTCCCGACTCTTCGGTTCAGTCGTTCCCGGAGCTCAACATGCTCCGATACGAACGCGATACACTAACAGACTCCTTCGGTGCACTCGACGACCCACTCGGCACTCGCTGCCCGGCTCTCAACTCGATCGACTCCGCAGGGATTAACTCACTAGACGAGACACCAACTCGATACTAACTAACTCGCACTCTAGACGAGGCACACACACTCGCCCTCTCGATGAAGCACACACTGACTGACTGCGGACCAGCAGAGTTTATATAGCTTTCGGCTTGTGTTCGAAAACATTCTGGGTTAAACCGGTAAGAATTCGTTCCAGAAAATTCTCCATCCGTCCATGCTATATCGCCAATTTTTTTCGTCAAATGGGTGATTGCTCGCCAAATGTGGCAACACTGCTTTCCGTTCCCATTTTATGGCAACCCTAAAACTGCTTTGCGGGGAACCCGTCTTACCGCGCCTGTACATTTCGTAACCGTAACAATATCCTGAAATAATTATATAAATGCTTTTATTAATTAAAATTTTAACGTAATGTGCAAAGTTCTGCAGTTTAAAATTTGGGCATCGTTTAAAAAAGGAAAGGAAAGATATTAGGATAGTTCTCGCCTACTTTGCCATAATCAAATAAATTAAATCATACGTCAAAAATCTAATCCATGAATCTCTCCTTCCTGCGATTAACTTCATAATTAACCAGTTAATTAGGAAATGAATCGCAAACCTGAGAATAATCAGAAACTTCAAAGAATAATCAGTAACTCATAATAAGAAAATCACAACAAGAGCTACCAACATCCACACCCGTTCACCTCGACACCAGGCAAAGCACAACAAAGCTCCTCCAAGGTTGGGGAATGAAACTGCGCTACTCGAAGCTAACGCTAACGAATTTCAATCTTGGGGGAATCATAGGTGGAAGGTGACTATTCTTCTAAGACGTTAAATCCTCAATTTAAAGAATTAAGCGTGTAACTTTTCATTATATCCTATACAGCAACTAAATAAAACTTTATTTACACTGGATACAGTTCGTAGGAGATATAGAGAAATTACAAACACAAATCCATATTTTGAATTTTATGTTAGTAATATTTAGAAAGGTGAGCCTTTCTTAAGGCGGGTAGTTCATAAAGTTCAGGTCACTGGTAAAATCCTGTTTATTTCCTGTAATTTGTTTTTAACGCTGACCATACTAAAAAACCTGTCTGATAATAAGGTACTTAGTCAAAACAGAACGTAAACAGACAGTTTTATCATACACCAGCTACCAGCTTTTGTTCAAAAAGCTGTTAGGTCAGAATCTGGAAAGTCCGCTTTCAGAATGTTACCTTTTAGTAGGCCAAAAACTTTTATTTTCGTTGCGATATCTTCATCTTTTAAGACAGTGCTTTTTTCCGCGATTTAGGATTAGATCTTAAATTCTGTCTGTTATTTTTTATAATACTGCGTCAGAAGCATTTATCATAGTCTCTCGTGTGTTACTTAATGGTTTTTAAAAAGAAATAAGATTATTATGTACCGTTTTTCGAAAACAATAACCTTAGCTTTAGTTTTTGAAGTTTTTATTAGTCCAGGGGCTTTGTCCCTGAAGGACTATTGTTTTCGTTTTGCAATTTTGCGTTGAATCACTATAAACGGCGAATCACTTTTCAAACTGTTGCCACCCAATGTTAGAGTCCTGCATTATATTTTAAG